TTTTTTTTTTTTTTTTCTTTTTCAAAATTCATTTCAAAAAAAAATAAATAAATAAAATATATTAAAAATATATATCCCTACCAATAAATTAATAGGAGATAAATGCATTTTTATTGTATTTTGTCAATTTTATCTCTAATAAATTCTTCGCCTAGAATTGGTTGCAACACGTTAATGATGAACTAGGACATTTCTCATACTCGTTTGAGATGAGGATAGAGAGATCGAGGGTATTAAATAGAGAGACGCTGTTAGAACAGTTAGCATGAGACATATCTCAATACCCTTTGACGGTGAAGAAAAATTAAAAAAAATTTGTAGCGATTTATTAAAACTTTTTCTACCCAGACAAAAAAAAAACAAAATTTTTTTGGAGTGAATTAATATTAAAGAGTGAGACACCCCTTATTTTTAATATTAAAGAGTGAGACACCCTTCTTTTGTTACAACAACAGTTTTTTTTGGGAGACACCCATTAGAACAGTTAAGTCCCGAGTTTTTTTTGGGAGACACCCATTAGAACAGTTAAGTCCGTAAGTACGGAGTGAACTCTGTAAGGATATTAAAGAGGGAGACACCCATTAGAACAGTTAAGTCCGTAAGTCCGTGTAGGGGAGAGTATTAAATAAGAGTGAACTCTGTAGGGATATTAAAGAGGGAGACACCCATTAAAACAGTTAAGTCGGGGAGAGTATTAAATAAGAAACACCATACATCTCTGATATTAATTGATAAGTTTTATTAATTTCAATAAATTCATCTTATTTCAAAAATAATTTTGATATTAATTGATAAGTTTTATTAATTTCAATAAATTCATCTTATTTCAAAAATATTTAAAAGAGTTTATTAATAAGAGTTAAATAGCTATTTTTGAATATTCTTGGCAAAAATATATTTAAAATATGATTTTTTTTTTCAATATATATATTTGAAATATTAGCCCTTTTTAAATATATATATATATTAGCCCTTTCAACTTTAAAAAAAATATATATTTGAATTACAATACGAATTCTATTACAACACCAAACTCGTAGTCGTTCGACTCATACTCAGTATGAAAACTTGATGAACTTTGAATTAAACTTTGAATTGGGTTTCTTGGGTTTCTTTTTACTTTATGTCTTGCTCGGGATGAACTTTGAATTGGGTTTCTCGGGATGAACTTTGAATTGGGTTTCTTTTTACTTTATGTCGTTGCTCTGGATGAACTTTGAATTGACATGAGCTAACATGGCAATCGAGTTATAGATGGATAGTGGCTTGTTTAATGAAGCCATGCACGGATTCCTCTTATCACATTGTGTTTTTCTATCTATTCTAGTTCGGTATCACTCCCTTCCATTTTCGACTTGTCACTACGTGGTAAATTAGCTATAGAAAGCACAAAATCCCATTCTGTTTTTTCTATCTATTCTAGCTCGGTATCACTCCCTACAATTTTCAACTTGTCACGACAGGGTGAATTAGCTATCGATAGGAATGTAGAAATATAATTCAAAATTAACTGAAACTAGCTAAAGATGAGGGACAAGGACATTCCCATTTTTGGTATTCATTTCTGTAACTAAACGCAATGTAGATCTAAACCTAAGACATCAAAACGACTGGTTTGAATGCAAAAGTCGTTCGTTCGTGGAGTCAAATCAGCTCATATCATCATCTAGCTAACAATGTAAACAGTACAAATCAAAATTCATCAACTTAAATAAATTTTAGTAGTCAATAAGCATATGAACTAAAAGAACCCAAGCAAAAATTAACATTTAAAAGAGAATGAGCATTCTATTTTGAAGAAACCTCTAATTTCTCTGTATACAACTTCAACAATCCAGGAATGCGGTTCTTATGAGGCTCGATGAATTTGTCTAAGAAGCGTTTTTCTGTGGACACAAACAACAAAGGAAGATTCACATGTTTCTTAATCAAACCATTTGACAACAAAACTTGATAAACAGAACCTCTAGGAACAATCCTATTCTTTAAACTATGAGAAATTAAAGAAGGTATTCTAGCAATGTAAGACGATTCACATCCAATTTGGTTGACAAAAAAATCCACTACATCGTTAATCTCATCCTCAGAAGCCATCATACAGCAGGGGGGGGCCTTCTAAAAGCAAAAAGGATCTCTTCTTCCGGCCATCCCCATTTCCTATAAACTTCAACCTTCTTTTTCCATGTAGATTTGCTCATTGCTCGCAGAGCAAAAACAGCAAGAACAAACTTCAATCGCAGAGAATTGAATCCCATTTCCTTAACTTCCTCCACAATCTTCTTAAATCGAATGGAACTTATCAAAAACACTCGAGGCTGGGATCTAAGAATGCTTGCAATGTTTTAATCGGGCACTCCAATTTGTCTCAAAATTTCAACATTCGGACGAGCAGAATTTTGAAGATCCCAAGTGAGAAGACCCCCACACCGTTTTATGGCTGCAATAGTCTTCTCCTCAGTTTGAAGCAAATCATGAATATAATTAAAGGATGGAATGATTTGTCAGTTTAAACTTCGTTTTAGAATAGCAGGAAATCACAAACTAATTTAGCAACCTCAGGAGAAGAAAGGCCTTTAGATTGGAGGAACAACAATTTGGGCAATAGGGTTTCTTCGGGGTTTGTTGATAGAACTTGAGGGAATTTCTTGATAAGCTCAGAGATTTGTGACTTTGAGAATCCATGATTCTCAAATAACAGAATCACAGGCTTCTCATTGCTCTCAAAATCAACAAAATTAGAAGCCAACGACGCAGATTTCGGAGACGATACAATCTCGGAAGAAGTCAATAAGAATCTAAGAGATTTCAACGGAGATCCGGAAAACGATCCGACTGATAATGCAGTTCTAACTAGAATGATTCTGCGAAGCAAATGGTACATGACTGTAGAAACTCAGCGAGAAACAAACTGACCTGATGCTTCCGAGAAGAAGAATGGGAGAAACCACGAACGCCAAGAACAGAGACAGGGAGTGATAAAACGAATGTCCCTGCTTGTCAAATTGCAAGCACTTGTTTCATTTGGGTATTTATAGCGATGTTCTTTCCCTTTTATATGGGCCGGCCCAATCATTGAGAGGTTCAAGATGACCCGAGAAATAAATGGGCTTCTCAAATTATAAAATGGGCCGGCCCAAATATTGATAGGTCAAGGTGACCCGAGAAATAAATGGGCTTCTCAAATTATAAAATGGGCCGGCCCAAATATTGAGAGGTTCAAGGTGACCTGAGAAATAAATGTCGCTGACCGAATACTCTTCGGAACCTAATCCAACCCAACCTTCCGTCTTCCGGTTGAGTTGAGTTGTCGGGTAGTTTTTTCCTTTATTGTTATTATTTTAAAAACTCCATTTATACACGATACCTGTTATATTAGTAACTAAAATATCATCAAGTTCAAATATCGAACATTTACCTGTCACACCACATCACTAATATCAATTACAAACGTTAAATATTCTTAACATTAAAAAAAAAAAAAAAGATTATTTATTTTTTAAAAATTCAATTTAACCCAATATATATATATATTTATTTATTTATTATTTATTATTTATTATTTTTATTATTATTAATTTTAACCAATAAGTTTAAAAATTTAGTCTTTTCTCGAAAAAGTAATTAGTTATAATTGATATATATTATATAATTTATATATATAAATATAAAAGAATGAAAATTAAAGATGAGAAGTGGGGCCCAGTGCAGGCCAATGAGAAGGCACGTTAAGTGCTTGATGAAATGCCAAGACACATATGGGGGACCAATCCATGGCCCCACTCGATTGCCCTCCATATTTTTCACACCCACAATTTTTTTTTTAATTATTATTTAAAATTTTGTTTACAAATTAAATCATTAGTGTTTGACACTCATTTTCTTTTAATTATTTTACGAGCGATATGTTACTTTTTAAGTCCGTGTTTTTTTTTTTTAATGCGTGTAATTAGGTCAAGACAAGAATTTATCAAGATTTTATTGGTATTCCATACTGCGAGATCCCACGTTGATTCGAGATAAAAACAAAACATTCCTTATAATAGTGTTAACTTTTCATCTCAAATTGGTTGTGGAAGGGAATGAAACGCTTCTTATAAACTGGGTAGAAACCTCTCCCTAGTAGACGCGTTTTAAAATCGTGAGACTGACGGCGATGCGTAACAAACAATATTCGCTAATGGTGAGCTTGAGTTATTACAAATGATATTAAAGTCAGTTACTGGGCGATGTGCCAGCAAGAACAATGGTCTCATTGATTCTGAGATCCCACCTCATTAGAAGAGGGAAACAAAACATTTCTCTCGAGATCCCACGTCAGTTGGAGAAAGAAACAAAATATTTCTCGTGTTTTAAACCCGTGAAATAAACGAGCTAAAGCGATCAATATTACATCTCCTAATAACAATTTATTTTAGAATGTATTTTTTATTTATTAATTAAGCGATTTAAATGTGATATAAAATTGTGGTGGCGTGATCTTAGGCACTTAAAATAATCATTCATGGTTTAATAATTTTCAGAGGATTTTCATTTGTTAATAAATAATAATAATAATAATAAAAGTCCGATTCCAAGTGTGAACAAATCAAGGTATTGATTATTAAAAAAATAATAATGTATAAATATTGTCGCAATATTTCTATTTCGAATATTTATTAATTAATTTAAAATTCAACCATCGAATATTCCCTTAAATAACATTTGACACATGTTTTTTGTATGCTTTGTTGGACCCTAAGCTAAGATATTGGTTGAGAATTAATTGAATTAAAAAAAACGTTTTTTTTTTAATGTAATATATATGACTGAAAATTGCAATTAGTTCTAATTATAATTTAATTAACATGATTATTTTTTAATTATTGATTTTCTCTTATTAATTTAAGTAGCAAAATTATGATATAATTTTGAGAAATTTAAAGGGCATAATTGTAATTTCATTGAATTTAATCCCCGATCAATAATAAAGAGAATTAAGCTTCAAAATATTGTTTTATTTTTTAAAATAATTTTAGTCCACAAAATTGCATAAAAACTACTTTATATTTTTATTATATTTAACAAAAGTTATAATCTTTATTGATAATTACTTTGAATAATTTAATATTAAAAAAAATTAAATCTTCAATAAAGCTAATATAAAAAATTTGTTAGATTACAAATTTATCCTTAAATATTTATAATTTATCTATTTAGTCTTAATTTTAATTTTTAATTTTATTAGCAATAGTCAACCCGATATTTAAACTCCCAATAATAATATATATAACATGACATAATCAATTATGTTATATGAACAAAATCATATATGTCGATATGTTTATTAAACAGATAAATCTAAATATTTTTATTTTATTTATTGCGTTAATTAATTACTTAGATTTAATCAATATTAGTATTATTGGATTTAATTCATAAATTTGGCCCATGTTTAATTTGAAGCTCATCTCCAATTTTTTACCATTAAAATTTGGGGGAAAAAAATTGAGAATTGACAAAAAGAGACAGAGCTCACAGGGAGTAGTATAGTTCTGCCCGTATTTTACAATTTCCACAACGAGCAAATAGCTCGCCGACACTCGGGAGCTTGGGCACAGTGCCGCGAACCAATTACAAAAGAGTACTCAATTACGAAACTACCCCTCCACTTGTGGCTATCGATCTTCCAAGTCAAAACACACAAAAACCACTTTCCCACCACCGGGTAACCGCCTGGTTCGGTTTCCGGGTACTTTGCCGACACGTGGGTTTACTTTCCGGGTCGACCCGACAACCGGCGCTCCCATATACGGGTACATTTAAGACTTCTCACCAACTCTCCAACCCCTCCCAAAAACGTCGCCGTTTTCATTAGCTTATGCTGACGTAATCTAATCGATATTAGCCGTCCATTTACTCGTACTGAATGAATCCCACGATCCACCTTCTTCCAAGCTAACTAGATTTATTTTTCTTTTTCTAAAATCCCTTTTTTTTCTTTAACTAAAAAAACAAAAACTACTTGTTTTGACTATTCTCTCCTCTTTCCACCGAATTCTGTAGAGAGGTTTTGTAGGAGCAATAATTTGTTTTTGTTTTATATATATATATTTATTTATTTATTTAAATTTTAAAAATATTCTTATTTTCTTATCCTTTGTGACACGAACAATTTGATTTTTTTAAACTATAATTATTAGCTGTGAGAATCGTGTTCAAGTAATAACTTAAAGTGTTTATAAACTATAGATAAGATTATATGTTTGGTAGATATGTCTCATTTTTTAATTGTAAAAAATTAATTGATTAAAATCTGAACGAACAATAAATTATTTAATATTTTTTTATAAACATGTGAATTATAATATTAATATTTCACAAAATGAAAACAAGCAACTGGGTCTTAATCATAGAGAAACTTCTTTAATAACAGACGTAACTTTTAAAAACTAAACGAAAAAACTATTATACGGTCACGTTCATGTTTATCTAAAATGTATTGCTTAGGATCGCAGTGCGATTGTGACACTTAACACATTTTATTGTTTATTATTTTAAAAAATTGAATTGGTCACTAGTTCGTTTATGGCTCAGTTGATCTCATTAGTCTTAAATTTCAATTTTGAAAGCTACCCTAAAGACAAATTATTATTTAAGTCACGAATTAAAATTTAATCATTTCATAAAGGTTTTTTTTTTTTTTTTTAAAATAAAAACAACTTTTTAAGGAAGATACCTTTGTAACATGCCACCTGGACTTTTAGAGAACATAACCTCAACATTGTTCTAATTCTATTCAAGGAAGGAGACAGCAACCTCCCGAGATTTAGCTCATAATCCCCTAATTATCCCTCTTTTTAAGTACACCCTTCCATGCAAAATGACCGATTTGCCCTTCTCTCTCTCTCTCTTCCTTAGCACGCTTTTTGTAATGAACTCCCCACTTCACTTTATTTAATTTCTTTTATTAGTTTATTACGAAAAATAATTCCTTTTTGTTTTTTTTTAATCCAAATTTTTAAATATTTTATTTCGGATCTCAATGAAATTATTAAAAAATAAAAAAATAAAACTTTTTTTTTTTTTTTGTGAAAAAAATCGAGAATTAGTAAGTAACGTTTCTAATGAGATCAAACGTGTATAACGTGTATAAATGTGTAATTGCCACATACTCGACATGATACTACACGTCGTAAGATTCAATAATTGACTTTTTACGTGTACATAGTACTAAAATATCATTTATCACATAACATACATGTCAGATCCCACATTGATTGAAGAGACGAACAAACCATTCTTTTATAATGGTGTGAAAACCTCCCCCTAACAGATGCGTTTTAAAATCGCGAGACTGACGACGATACGTCATAAGCCAAAACATACATGGGTTTGAGCCGTTGCAAATGGTATCAGAGTCATACACGTGACAATGTGTCTGCGAGGACACTAGCTCTTAAGGGGGTGAATTATGAAATCTCACGAACGAAACATTATTTATAAGAGTATAAAAACCTTTTCTAGCAGACGCATATGAAAATCGTGGGGATGACAAGCTATATGTAACAGTCAAAACGAACAATATTTATTAGGAGTAGGTTTTTACTATTTAAATTTAATAAATAAAGTCAAATTTAATTAAAATTATATATATTAACTAATTATTTGAGGTGACATTAAGCAATAAATTAAATTTGATTTGATTTATACGGATTAAAATCATTGCCATTTGATGATGAAATTGACCATATAGAATCTTGATAAATTTTATTCTTAATTTATTATATATTTTAATTTTTAAATATTTAATATTTAAGCTATTATAAATGTAATTCAACTAAAATAAGGGAAAAATATATGAGTTATATATAAGCTTTTTTTAGGAGTATTTATCATAATTTGAGAGAAAAAAAAAATTAATTTTTTTTAATTATATGGATTAAATTGCAACCAAATTTAAGTACATATATTAAATATATTTTAAATTTAATAATTTATAATAATACTACA